TGGGGCTCACTGATTGACTAGACTAGCTGACTATGAAACCCAGCCCTGCATGATCTGCTCATCTCCACCCCCAGTACTAAAGTTACAGGTGTACACTACCATGTCTGGCATTTTATGTGGTTTTGCTGGGCATCCAAACTCAGGTCCTCATGCTTCTATGAATTATTACCTAGTACTAGAGAGTTGTTACACTCTTTTGCAAAGAGGCTCTGTAAACAGACACAGTAGAACAGAGGCAGTGTATTGCTGGCCTTGCAGGATGAAGGCTTCAAGAGGTCTTTTCTAACAGATATCGAGAAATGTGAACCTTTTTTTTTTCTTTTGAGACAGGGTTGAACCCAGACTGGCCTCAAATTCTCAGCAATCCTTCCTCCTCCTTGCTTAATCACTGGGTATATGGGCATGTGCCACCGTGCCTGCTAGTAAATGTAAAGATTGACTATATAAAATGTCATTTACTTCGGCTGAGCCTGATCACTAAACATAGTCACAATTGGGCTTGTTGACAGTTGTGCTCATTCATTAAAGGAGTGCCAAGCAGGGACACTGGAACCTCACTGGAATATCCAGCCACTCTTCCCAGCCAACTAGTCCAGCCTTGGAAGACAAAAGAAAATTGAGGAAGAACCCAATAGAGTGATGCGTTTGGAAGCCCTTGTCAAGAAACTCCAATGGACTCTCATATGAACATTTGAAAATGTCCCTGTTGTGACTTTTTTCTAGTTCCCTGTATAGAACTTGTAATGCTAATTACTCTTGCCTTTACTTCTCCTTCACATCTCCTATTCATGATTCAAGGACTTTCTTTTCCCCCTAGAGATAATAGTTATGCATTTTGGGAGACTTTTAGATAGACCCACTGAAGGGGTACTCCAATTGCTTCACCTTGCATCCTTGTTCAGCATGGAAGAGGCCAGAGCGGTTGGCGTCCCCTACTGGCAATTTGGGTAACCCCTTCAGAGGATGGTGTGATAAAAATAGGAGGTAGGAATTGGCTAGGCAGTTAGGGTAAAAAGACCCCAAAGAAAAGTAGCCAGTTTCTGGGCTAAAAATCAAATTGTCCTTTGGCCTGTTTGCAACATACTCTGTTCCAAAAGCCAAAAACGTTAAAAGTATTTGGGAGCTTGTATCTAATCCGTAAAAGATTTTAGGGTTACCTCTTGGGGGGGGAATGTTGGAGGGGAGGGAGTGGGCATGGATTTGATCGAAACACCTTATATGCATGTATGAAATTCTCAATAAAGTTTTTGTAAAAATTAAATATATATATAATATTGGTGTTAATTCTTTGAGAATTTCATGCATAAATATAATGTGTTTTGATATCTACCCTCTAACTTCTCCCAGATCTACCTCCCTTCCTGCTCCCTGCCAAATTCGTGTCCTCTTTTTATTTTTTAATGATCCACTGAGTCACATTTGTGCTGCCCATATAGTCATGAGTGTGAGGCCATCCACTGGAGCATGGTTGACCTGTCAGGGGCCACACCCGTAAAGAAAACTGATCCTCTCTCCCCTAGAAGCCATCAATTGTCAATAGCTCCTCAGCTAGCGGTGAGGGCTTGTGAGCCTCTCCCCCTCCATGCTGGAATATTGACTGACTTGATCTTCTGTAGGTTCGTGTACAGCAACTACAACTGCTGTGAGTTCATGAGTGCAGCCATCCTGCTATGCTCTGAAGGATGCTTTGCTCTGGCCCTCTCTGACCTTTGGCCCTCCCTGACCTCTGGCTCATAGACATTCATTCTCTGTACCTTGATCAGTTTTGAGTTTCTGTGTCTAACAACATTTTTTATTACTTTATTCAACCTTTAACCAGACATTTAATAAAAGCAGTTTGCCCTGTTAAAAAAATTAAATGAAATGACATGTCATTTATGGTGCAGTCAACTAAGTGGAGTCAAGAGGCCACAGGGAAGAACACATGGACTGTAGAAGCCTTTTCTTTAAATTTTATTTTATTTATTAGTAGTAGTAGTATGTGTATGAGAGAGAGAGAGAGAGACAGAGAGACAGAGAGAGAGAGAGGTGTATGTGGGTACATGTGAGAGAGAGACAGAGAGACAGAGAGAGACAGAGACAGAGAGAGAGAGAGAGGTGTATGTGGGTACATTTGTATCATGGCATAGGTCTGACCACTTATGGTCAGAGGACAATTTTATGTCATCGGTTCTCTTCTTCACCTTTTCATGGGTTCCAGGGACTGAACTCAGGTCACCAGGCTTATGAATTAAGTTCCTTTACCTATTGAGTCACCTCATTGGCCCTCACATACGCCTTTTTAAAACTGTCTAACATGCCTGATCTAGAAACTACAAAGGCCTCAGCGGAACTCCGAGTTCATGCTTTCTACTTAGGAATTACTGGCAAACAGAAATCACCAGACCCAGTGAGACTCTGCCAGCGGCACTAAGCTTTCAACCAGAACTTGCACAACCTCTTCTCTCCCCAGTAAAACTCCAGCATTTTCTTTATTCTTCAGAAAGAATGAAATTCACCTTGGTCTGTGTGTATGCCTCAAATTACATGCTAATTTTGTTTATTTTTGACAAATAAGTCATTTTATTGGAGAATCATCCCTAGACAATTTTATTTCAAGTTGATAGAAAGAAGCAATTGCCTTGTCAGAAGCTGCCTGTCAGGTACCAGGTGACGTGAGCTGGAACAAGCAATGAACCCCCATCTTGATATGGCAGCTGCATTTTGGAGTTACCAGCTGACTAAACTCATGGTAACACATTGTCACGCTCCAGTGTCCACCTGTCTTCTGCGTAGGCCGGCAGACAAACTGAATGGGGATGTGGTGAGAACCCGCACCCCTGCATTTTTCAAATCCTTCATGCTGGCACTAATCTCCACAGTCTCTCCTGGAATGTGGCATTGGTTTTGATTTATTATTTCCTAGGAAGAGGCCTTTCTAGTGGATGCTACTTGGGCTTTCCAAAGCCCCCAGTCCAAAGGTCAGGAAACCAGTGTGAGGATTCTGCAAGCTACTGGGTATTTATATTACAACAATACATTCTGGAATTGGGAAAATAGCCATAGGATGGATTGGGAAACCAACTAGACCCACTGTAAGATTCACTTGAGCTAAAGCACTCTTGATTCCCTGACACCATAAACCCCTGTTCTAACCAATGGCTCATCAGAGAATTAGTGTCAGTTCAGAGCTAATTGCCAGGGTCCATTGGTTCTTAAAAGTTCCATTTGCTCTTTTTTCCATTGCACAGTTACCCTAGTTAAAAAAAAAAAAGAAAGAAAGAAAGAAAGAAACCATTGCTTAGCTTAAAATTAATTTAGGAAGTTCCATGCAAATATATTTGAAATTTTATTGGATAAAATTTTTTAATTGATGTATATTTTATAATCCAATATATCATACACAGTATACATATTCAGGTATTATTTAGCATTTTGCTTCCTATGTATTAAAAACACCTAATATTTAAGAGATATTTTCTCAAAATTTATTTCTTAATTATCTGTTGATGTGTTTAGAAATGCAATTTGTTTTTTAATCTGAATCACATACAGAGTCTTGCAACTTCTGACATCTCTATCAGTTTGGAGAAGATTTTACTGATTGTTTTCATCACTATAAGCTATATTTTCCTACATCTTTGGACTCTTGGTGTACCCTGGTTTAATATCTAACATTGTGAACATATATTATTAAATACTGCTTATTTTCTACTTCAGTTGTTTGTGCTGATATCCAAATCACCACTAAGAAGCTGATCTTTTTTGACTGTCTAATAATTAAAGTGTTTCTGAAATAAACACCTCTCTCCTCATAAAAATAAAATAAAAATTTAAAAATTAAAAAAAACACACAAAAACATTGCTCCTTTAGGGGAAAGCTAATGGGAAGATGAACAATGTGATGTTTCAGTGTTACGCAGGAGTCCTTTATCAAGTGTCCCTCCCCTTCACTGAAAGGGTTGTGGTCTCTAAACTGGCTCGAAGCTGAGAACTGATTGGTGTTGTGTATTTGTTGTTTTTTCTTTTTGCTGTGACAAAATACTTGACAAAAGTAACTTGAGAAGAAAGATTTTGTGGCTGGAGACATGGCTTAGAAGTTAATAGCAGTGACTGTTCTTGCAGAGTACCAGGGTTCAGTTCCCAGTACCCACATGGTGGCTAACAACTCTCTGTAATCCCAGTTCCAAGGGATCTGTCACCCTCTTTGACCTCTGCAGGCATTGCATGACATGGGTGCACTTACATACATGCAGGCAATACATTCATACACATAAAATAAATAAATAAAATATATTTTTATTGAATTTTTGTGTATTTCAAACAGAACAGCTCAAACAATCTTAATCATCTTTATACCTCTGTCCCCACTGGCACCCTCCCATAGCCCCCACACTGGAGCCCCTATACTCTGTCATCCCTGTTAAGGGCCACTGTGTCTTCAGTGACCCAAGCCACTCCCCAGTGCAAGTCCATCCACTGAGGTCTACTCAGCCTATCTAGAGTCTCTTGTTTTAGGAAGATCAGCTCTTCTTCACCTAGCAGTAATCAGTTGCCAATATTTCTTCAGATAAGATTGGGGTCTACTGTTCATTTTCCCAGGTCTATGCTGGGTTTTTGTCTGCCTGAGTTTGCATGGGACTTGTGCATGCTGACACCGTGGCCATAAAATCATACGAGCAGGGTCCTAGGAGCTTGTAGGACTCTCTTTCCATATGGTCATATACCTCCTCCCTGGCTCTTACAGTCTTTCCGCCCCTTCTCCCACAATGGTCCCTGAGCTTTGAGTAGATGAAGTTTAATAAAGGAGTCCTGTCCAAGGACCAGCATTCAGCAGACTCTTGATCTCTATGCTTCTGCCATATGTGACCTTTTTTGCCCTGGCCCTCTGCTGTATGAAGGAGGGTCCTAGGAGCTTGTAGGACTCTGTTTCCATATGGTCATATACCTCCTCCCTGGCTCTTACAGTCTTTCCGCCCCCTCTCCCACAATGGTCCCTGAGCTTTGAGTAGATGAAGTTTAATAAAGGAGTCCTGTCCAAGGACCAGCATTCAGCAGACTCTTGATCTCTATGCTTCTGCCATATGTGACCTTTTTTGCCCTGGCCCTCAGCTGTATGAAGGAGCTTCATTATTGAGAACTAAGAGATTCATTAACGTCATCTTCTTTACCCTTATTCTATGTTCCTTGAGCCTTAGGTGTAGAAGTTGCATTATGGATGTGTCACTTAAGCCTTGGCAATTCATAGACAATGTCCGTTGTGACCAGTTGTGGTACTTGGTAATAGTCTCTGACTGATGCAAAATGAGCTTTGATGAGTAGTGTCTGGGGTATTCATCTGTAAATAGAAGGATACATATTTTGCACATAGTAAGAAATCACATTAGTCTAACAATGTGACAGTTTTCTCTAAGATCTATAACCACTCCAGCCAGAATGGTACATTTAAATAACATATTTTTAAAAATTTTTATTTGTTTTTAATTATTTATTTAATGACCACATGATTAGAGGAAGCATTTCATTCTACAACATTGACATAGTGATAGTCGGTTACTTTCTGAGCTCCTTGGCATCTGAGCATGGATATAAAGTCATCAGGTAGATTTCAATGGTAATGTTTTCCACATCTACCAATTATTAAGGAACAAATTTTTATGCTTTGAAGAATTATTTTTTTAGTTTTAAAAAAATTTAATGACCACATGATTAGAGGAAGCATTTCATTCTACAACATTGACATATTCAATAACAATTTCCAGAGCAAAGATGCATCTCTTTCAAAATTGGCTGTAAATTTTTAGGTTCACAGTCGAATTAATACAGTTACACAATATTGTACTCAGTATAAACACTATAAGACGTAAAATTGAATGAGGTTTTAACCTTTAAGAAAGATCTCCTTTTCATTTTAAAATATACTCTTTCATACAGAAAAACTAAATACATCTCTTTCAAAATTGGCTGTAAATTTTTAGGTTCACAGTCGAATTAATACAGTTACACAATATTGTACTCAGTATAAACCCTATAAGACGTAAAATTGAATGAGGTTTTAACCTTTAAGAAATATCTCCTTTTCATTTTAAAATATACTCTTTCATACAGAAAAACTAAATGAGATATTTTTAAGAGAGGTAAGATTTATTCAGGCTCACAGTTTCAGAGAGTTTCGGTCCATGGTGGTGAAAAGGGCATGATGGGAGCAGCTCAGTTCACATGGGAGAGGGTATGAGGTAGCTGGCCCTTCGTATCATAGTGGATCTGAGAGCAGAAAACACAAACCAGAACCAATAGTGGGTATAATCTTCAAGGCCTACCCCCAGTGACCTACCACCACTTAGGGCCTATGTCCTAAAAGTTCCACAGCTTCCAAAACAGCACTGTCAGCTGGGGACTAATTGTTCAAACACATGAGCCCATGGAGGGACATTTTACATTCCAACCATAGCAGATTGTGACTGTTTTTACAACACATGATGGATTTTTTTGTGTGCTTGGTTTAGGAATTTTCTACTTGTACAGACCAAGAATCTATACAGATTCTTCTCTATTTCATTTCTAAGAATGGCATTATCAATCAGCAACACAATAGGTTTGAGCAAGTCAGATTCTTCTGATCAGGTCTTTGACTTTACCTTTCATCACATAACCACACCCACCACCTGACCTTTGCTGGTTGAGAGCCTCCACTTAACCCTGGGGGAAACCCAGTTGTCCCCATTGCATTACATTTCTCGAGCTAGTAACTGCAGTTTCCTATTGTTGAATTCTGGCTACAGCAAGGAAAGATCACAAAGCCCTACAAGTTGCAAAAATTTATTTTTCCCTCACAAATTGATTTCTCACCATCATCATAAAATGTATACTATCCTGACCTCAGTATGATGGCATTGATCTTAACTGACAGATCCATTCTAACAGTCCAGTCTTCCTAGGCCATGGTATTCCTCTACCTGCATTAAACTGAGAGAATTTGAGCATCTACTGCTTATACTGGGCCACTGTTGATACATGTTTCAGCCAAACAACCAAATTGTTAGAACCCTATCCATTCATTTGTTTGTTTGTTTTCCTTCTAAAAGACCCTTTGCTTAGTTCCTACTTGGCAGATAATAACTGTACATCTTTATGGGATATACTGTGATGTTTTAGTATATTAATACATTTTGTAAAGAGTCACTTAGGAGATTTAGATTCTCCCTTACCTTGAGCATTTATTTTTTCTTCATATGACAATGCTGAAAACCCTGTCTTCTAGTTATTTTGAGTTATATGATACAGCACTGTTCACTGTAATCAGCCTTCTGTGTAATAATACATCAGAACTTATTCCTTCTGTCTGGCTGTGATTTTGTAGATTACCAATCTCTCCTTCATCCCCTTACCTACCCTCTCCAGCATCTATTCTGTGTTCAACTTCTATGAGCTCAGCTTTCCTAGACTGCACATGAGCAAATCATGCAATATTTGTCTTTCTGTGTCTGACTTATTTTACTTAATTTATAACCATCCATGTTAGTGCATTGCATACAGAATCTTGCCCTAGAGACACATCAATAGATTTGGCTAGATTCAGCTTTCTGTTCTTTTTACCATCATCCCATACCCTTCATGTCCATTCCTACATGTGTTCTCCATATTTCTATCTGCATTAATTAAAGACCTCACAGGCTTTTTGTAGTACAGTGCACATGAGTCATATTTTGTACCTCCCTGCTTAGGGTTAGAGTTAACTGTAATTATAGTATAATAGGCAAAAGAATGGAGGTGCCAGGTCCTGAGGAGACAGCATTGTGATGTAGGAAAGTGCCCCAAAGGGAGGCCATTGCCATTACCACAGGGATGCAGGGCTAATGCTCTCAGCTTGGGATATAAAGGGCATTCAGAGGGCAGTAAACATTACAGACACAGAAAAAAGGAGGTGTATGCAATTCCAGTTCTTAACTCTACACTTATTTATAACTTGATTGTTTATGTACAGTTTGATTCCCTACTTGATAGAAGCCATCTCGATGTTCATGGTATATTTTGTCCTTCCCCCTTTTCTTTGCAATCAACAATAGTCAGGGGATTGAAAAGCTGAAATATTCAAACCAGTTTCCTCTCACATGAATAAAAATCCCTATCATGTGTCAATCAGATTTTCACAATGTACATGGTGATATATAACCGGTCTCCCACATATTGGTAACTGCATATTTAATATGTAAATGGCTTTTCAGGCTTATTTTTATTTCTCCCAGTTTCATGAGATTCACAATAATTTGAAGCACTGTTTCTCAAACGTTTTTCACTATAATCCTCCCAAGTTAATCTTTTTTAGACATTTTCCGAGTTGCCTCCATGATTTATTTTAAAACACTACAGTGCTTGGAATTAGATAGCCTTAGGAATTCTGGGCAAATGCTCTACTACTTAACTATATCCCCAACACTCTCCATGCCATTTTAATGTCATTGATGAATATATTGAATATCTGTTTATATACTACATTAGTATCTGTCTAAATACATGTTTTTGTTGTTGCTGCTGCTGTGTATGTGTGTTATGTGCAGGCTGTGTGTGTTATTTGTGTGTGTGTGTAGGTGCATGTAGTGGGGTGCATGTGTATGTGGGTGCGTGTGTATGGTTGTGCATGTATGTGTATGTATGTAGAAACCAAATGACAGCTTCAGGTATCCTCAAGAATGCTGTCCACCTCCTTTGAGACAGGATCTCTCATTGGCCTGGATAAAATTCACAAGTTAGGCTGGACTGACTGGCCAGTGAACCCCAGTGATCGGCCTGTGTCTACACCCCTAGTGCTAGGATCACAAGCGCAGGCTGCCACAACTGGAATTTTTATATGAGTCTGGGAATCGAATTCTGGCCCTCACACTTGCATGGCAAGTCTTTTGCTAACTGAGCTACTCCCCAGCCCCTACACAAGCCTTCTTTCACCATCAACAAATTAACTATCTTTTTCTTGGGATGGTGAATTGAAACAAAGTTCTCAGGAGAGGTGTGAAGCCCTCCTCCCAGACCCCCTGCCCCTCTTTAGGACTAGCTGCTCTTTCGCTTCTGTAAACTGCTTGATTGCTTGGCTGAAAGGACAAACCATGTTGACCCCATTTTGACTAGTTGTTCCAGATGAGCCTGAACAAGCCCAGGCATGTTGTAATCTCACCTACCACCCCCACCCCAGGAGGCTATAGATCAAGCAAGCTCAGGCATATAACAGCCTTATAAGGTAGGAACAGAGACTTCTGGCCCCACAGATAACAGCACATTCCATAACACTGAGGATAGCACCCACCAATGAGAGACCTCCAAGGATACATCCCTAGTAACCAATCAATTCAAAAGTGTGTTGGCGCACATGCGCGGGCCCTTTGAACCAATCAAGATGTAACTCTGTTATTCTTTGTCTGGAACCTATAAAAAGCTTCCACCCCCTGCAATCGGGGCTCTCAGCATAGATCCATTGCGTTGGTGAGGTCTGAGAGCCTGAGCTTAAGCCCGAATAAAGACTCTTTGTTCTTATATGCCCTATGGATTCCGTGGTTATTCTTGGGAGTCCGTTCTCTGGGCACAACAGAGGCTGTGCATCTATATTAAAGATCTTACAGACTATTACACTTTGTCTGGAGAGATGAACTGTTACAGGCTGAGAGTCAAAATTATCTTGGGCTACCTCAGGCCCTTTAGTAGCCATTTGCCTTAGTTTTTGTATTTGACTTTGTATTTGACTTTTTCAATATTCATATGACTATTGGGCAAATTGCTCCAAAAACATTTCCAAGCTCAGCAGAGTTTTAGACTTCACAGAGCCTAAAGCTAGAAATGCTGCAAAATAGCATCTGAAACCATCCCAAAAGGTCTTTCTTTCTGCCTGTCCACCATATGTTTCCACCAATGTAACTGGCAAATACATTGATTTATTAGTTCTTTTGTTATATAACTATAAAGTTCCTATGACCTCTTCCATGATGGGACATGCCATTCAGAGTAACTTGAATCTGCGTTCCTGGTCTATAAACACTCATAATTGACTGAGAACAAACTATTTCCTTGAAAGCACAGTTGTTTGTTTACATACACAGGGATGATATTGCCCCAATTGAGAATGTCTGACCTAGAATAACAATTCAGATTTTATACAGTAAGGAAATAGATAGTGAGCAATCCTTCTCAAATATAAGTCTTGTAGATTGTTATTTTTCATTAGCAGACAGGCATAGTTACTCTCTGTTAAACCAAACCCATGAGGCTGAGGGATCTTTGAAATACGAAGTTATAGAGCTGTTATGATGCTTGCCAGCAAAAGGAAAAGGTCTTGGAAAAAAGTTGCCATAACTACCAGCAGCAGAGCTAGGTAGCAAGTGGAGGCATTCCTCCTAGACCATGCCGAAGGGTATTTTCTATAATGAATATTTATGTAGGGAAGGAAGGCATAAATTATTTATGCTGCATATACCACACCAAAGATAAAGGGAGAATATGCACATAAAAGAAAATTGTGGTATAGTCCACAAGAAGAACTGTTGCTGCCGGGGCATGCAGAGGCATGGCAGGCATGGGAGGCAGAGGTAGGTGGATCTCTGAGACATCAAGGACAGTGTGGTCCACATAGTGAGTTCCAGACAGGCTGAGACTAGGAATACTCTGTCGAAGAAGAAGATGAAGAAGAAGGAGGAGGAGGAGGAGGGGGAAGGGGAGGAGAAGGGGAAGGAGAGGAGGAGGAGGAGGACAAGGACGAGGAGGAGGAGGACTAGGAGGAGGAGGAGGAGGAGAACTGAGACAGTAAGCAGGCTGTGCTGGCACAGACAATGTCGTGGGGTTTGAGAAAATATTTTTAACATATGTTCAAGAATTAGGAGTTTGGGCTAGAGAGCTGCCTCAGCAGTTAAAAGCACAGGCAGCTCTGCAGAAGACCTCTGCAGAAGGTTCGGTTTAACAGAGTAACTATGCCTGAGGAGAACTGAGACAGTAAGCAGGCTGTGCTGGCACAGACAGAATGTCGTGGGGTTTGAGAAAATATTTTTAACATATGTTCAAGAATTGGGAGTTTGGGCTAGAGAGCTGCCTCGGCAGTTAAAAGCACAGGCAGCTCTGCAGAAGACCTCTGCAGAAGATTCGGTTTAACAGAGTAACTATGCCCGTTAAGTGGGAGTTTGTTCCCTATCTGTAGCTTGCTAACTTTTAACCTCCAGTATCTCTCCTCCCTTCTGTTCTTTGTCCGTGTAGTTAAACTGGGGATGCCTCAGAATTTTTCTCTTATC